ATGTTCATATCACTTCCTGTGTTTTAGCACTAACTAGCTTGAGATCTTTTTTTTGTTTTGATCTTTTTCAGAACATTTCAATGTACATGCCACAAAGAAAAACCCACCTAGCTCATCTATGTTGCTTCCTCATTATCGGGGTGTTTTTGTAGTTCATACAAGCCAAGCTTTGCTCTTTTATTCAAGAGAGCTGACAGATGTACAACCTTAAATCAGCTTTTTAATCTGAGTTCCTTTTGTAAGCTGTAAACTTGCTTTATTTACAGCTTTCACCAATTGTGTGTTTGCGTCGTGACTTCCTGTCCCACAAAGCATCAGCAGATAACCAATGAACGCTAATTGGGGGCGAAGACCAAAAATGGGCTAAAAATGAAGTGACTTTTGGCATTCCTCAAGTAGCCAGACTCAGGACTCAAAACAAATGCTCTACATCTGCAGGAGGTTTGAAAAGTACGGAGGCCCCTAGGGGACATGGAGAAGAAAAAAAAAAAAATGTTGAAAAAAAAAAATAAGATCCAGCAGAGGTTTTGCGATATCTCGCAAAACCTTTTTTTTTTTCAAATAATTTTTTTTTCTTTCTTCTCCATGTGCCCTAGGGGGCTCCGTAGAAAAGGCCTTGTTAAGTCTGAGGCCATAATATTAAAATCTGTGCAACATAGGATATATTATTCAGAAATGTAAACAGAAGTACATTAATCCCAAGCTGCTCATTTACAGTAGACTGTCCATGGCACTGAATCCATGTTTGGCTACACAGTTTAATGATTCACTGAGTAACAGGCAGAGCGGACCAATGGTGAAGCAACATCCACTATAGCAACACAACTGTATACAAAAGGTTACCGGGGGGACAAGGACAAATGCAATGTGAATGTGAAATGAAAACCTAATATGATTGATTTAACCCAGACACCTCAATCGCAAACAGAAGCTTTTATTAATATTGGAAAATAATTGTTGGTTGTTTGGTTTAGGCTCCTTTTACCAAAATATTATTTCAATACCTAGCTAGTTCTCACCATCATCTACAGTTGATGAAAGCATTTCCCTGTATTGATTTGCTCATCCAATGATATATTTCATGTTATGTCTGTGTGATGTTGCTGCCAGAGATGTCCACACAAAATATTTAGATAATGAAACATTTGCATAATGAGGAACATGTGCAATTGTTGACTGCCCTGCTCTTAGTTATTGGCGTCTTTGAACTGCCATTCCTCCCGTCTCTCTCACACTATCTGCACATCTGTTCAACCACATGTTTATGTGCCACATATTAAATATTGTCCTATTTATCTTGAGCTGTTTTAATGATATCAATGTTTCTTTCTCTCTCTCCAGTGCATGGCTCCAGGGAGCCCGGCTGGCTGGAAGGGACACTGGATGGACGAACAGGATTGATACCAGAAAACTATGTGGAGTTTTTATAGTCCATGAAAAAAAAACACTTGAACTGGACAATTAAGGACTGGAATTCAACAAATTGGACTAGATTTGACTGCACACGACTGGACAGACTCTATTAGATCATTTATTAATCTGAACGGGACCATTGTTGATGAGGCCTCTCTTGTCTTGACTAGACTGGGAATTCAAACTGGACCACTGATTGAAGCCGGACCGAAAGGAGAGACCCATGAATTGCACTGGAAAAAAAAGAAAGAAAGATTAGTCCCGCTGTGGTTCCGGCTGTTATTAGATTAGTGAAGAAGACTTCCCAAGTCCTGGTGAAGATGATGTGGTAATGAACCTGGAATGTGTGCAAGAGAAAGTGTGTGTGTGGCATGGGGGTGGGGGGGCTGAGAGAGAGTGATACATGTATAAATTAGGTGATATTTTGGAGCTATACGCCCCTTGCTTTATTAATTTGAACTGCACTGCCATTGCTCCAGAATTTCCTCTTTTCTATCAGCCAGAAATTGAAAAATCTGCCTGTGGAGATGATGGAGATGATGTCAGGGAACCATTTTTTTTAAAAAGCAATCGGCCTATACATTTGGACTTGCTAGTTAAATTCCTCACTGTTTAAATGATTGCTAATTCCATTGGGGGACCGAAGCTTTTAAAGAAGCTTTTAATGATGGGGTTTTGGTTTTACAGCTGTAAATGTGTTTGTAAGCACTTGCTGTGGCGGTCTGGTAATTCTCCAGGACAAGACTCATCCTGGCTTATGTTGCAGAGCTCCGGTTCAGCGACAGGAGCCCCAGGGTAGATCAACACAGAACGAGGTCGCCGCAGAAAGAGTTCGCTAAAAGGTCATCCTTATTCCAAATGCCGCTTGCAGAGCCCTGAGAAGAAAATCGAAAAATTCCAAACAAGTTCCACACGCAAATCATAGGTTTATCATGCAGCGTAGGAGGAACAACTGGGTGCTGCTGGTTTAAACAAGCCCAGCTGCGAATCCTGGCTCCGCTTCCACAGCTTTGGTATTTTTAGATTATTTAAACTAAATGGATCCAGTACGCATTATTAAGTTATACTGTATTTGGATCGTTTAATTTTTTTAATTCCTGTGTACCAACAAATGTATCCCATTTTTTTTTTACTTTATTTACAATTCATCTTATTTATTTGTTATAAGCCTGCAACTTATTCACCTTCTTCAACTATTATTATGAGCAAACAACTAAAGTAATTTCAGTCTAAATAAGTGCTGTGACTCGTAACCCACCACAAGAATAGGTTTTTTATGTAGAATTATAACGATGATGATAACTGTGATTATCTGAGGATGGACATTCAAATTTGGAAGTGGAGTTTAAAGATTGTAATTTAATAGTAAATTAAATACAGATGTGGTATTCATAAAATCTCAAACATTTGACAATAAATAAATACAATACTTTTTCCTTTACTGCTTAGATTGCAAGCTGGTCTACTTTGGGGCTCCTATGAATTAACACAAGCTACATTTTTCCTTGAACCACTTAGTGAACATTTTTCAATAACCTTTGTCTTTGTTATTTTAGAACAATATTAAAGAACATTTATTCATTGTAACAGGGAAATCAAATGGGAGAGTAAAAAAGCAACTTAAATGTGAAATGAGACTACTTTGTTCATATCTGAACTTCCTATTTATGAGTTTCTTAAAGGCTCAATCCTGAACTGTATTCATTTTGAGGTGTTTTATTGACATTGTAAATAAATACACAGCATTTGATAAGGTATCATTTTTTAAGTATGACATTTTATATTTTGTATTCTTAGCATACTAACTTAATTCCTTTATTCCATCTTTGTTGCCCAGATTTGTGTATCATTTAAGTCTATCCTTAAATATTCCTCCAGATGTTTTGGTGAATTGACAAGTTGTGCACAATAAAAGATGAATGTTCAGCAGCTGCAGCCGTCGTCTTTGATGTTTCTTTTGGATAATATGCCTGCATTTTTACCCAGCGTTAAAGAAGTCAGACCAGGATCTACAACAGTGACGTTTTGAACCAAAATAAATCAATGATTTGATTATGACTCCAAGAACAAAGTACATTTATCATTCTGTTCAACACTCAAAGGGTGTTCAGGCAATAGTGTTTTTTTCACTGTTTTATGGCAAACTATACTGTGTCTGTTTTCTGACATACTAGATTATGACTCTTTGAATACCTACTATGTGTATACACTGATTATCAATACTATTTTAAAACACTGTACTGTTACCTTTTTCAGGATATTTTCAATTTACTATACTATGGCTTTTAAAAGAAAATCGACTATATGACATTTTTTAAATGTTTTAACATTGGAATGATAAATGAATGATATTTTCCACACGTTACTATGAATGTCTTGTTTTTTCCTCCAACATACTTTACAATCACTTTTTGACATACCATACTGTTATTTGATATAACATACTGTTATTTGATATGACAGATGACCAGACCTTTTAATGAACTTTTCAAAATACTATACTATGACTTTTTTCATGATATTTTCAACTTTCAAGGATTTTCTACAACATACTATGACTTTTTATATTTACGATGTACTGTAGTATACCACAACTTTCTTTATCTTTTTTGAAATACTTATCTATGATTTATTTTATATTATTCGATAGATTTTTACTCTATAAAATACTATGAACTTTAAGGAGATACTTTTTTGTCTACATTCTATACTGTAATATACCTTCTTGGCATACTACACCATTACTTTTTAGATTAGATTTGTTATGAAATATTATACATTGACATTCTTTTTTTTTCAATATACTATACTACAGCATGACTTTTTCATGGCATAATAGTTACACTTTTTTATGAGATACAATACTATACTAAGACTTTATTGCATACATTTTGTATTGTCTTTTTGTACAACACTATTACTCTATGTAATTCTACATAACCTAATCCTCAGTTTTTACACTATTTGTATTATTACCAACATTTCCAAGTCATTCTCGATATCTTGAAGAAAGAAAAAAAGTGGCGCTGAGCTTTGAAAAACTGGGAACTTTATTGTGTAAGATGTTTGAACTAAAGAGAAATCAGTTTTTCCGACTCGCACTCTCAACCTGTGATCGGAAAAACTGATTTCTCTTTAGTTCAAACATCTTACACAATAAAGTTCCCAGTTTTTCAAAGCTCAGCGCCACTTTTT